AAAAAATAAAAAATAAAAAATAAAAAATAAAAAATAAAAAATAAAAAATAAAAAATAAAAAATAAAAAATAAAAAATTAATTACACAATGACCAAAAATTTACCAATCTCGCAGTCTTAAAAAAGTTGGTGATTTTGTGGATTCCTTTAGCTGAGTTTGCAAGTGTGCCAGAAGCACCAAACTTATGGTAATATATCGATTTCAGTAATTTTTTTATTATCCTTGTGTTTCTATCTTTATTTTTTTTTTACATGAGTGGAATGGTTGTTTCTTCTTCAATTTCTTTTTCACTCTTCTTTTCGTCAGATTTATTATCTTTATCTGTGACACCTTTAGAAAATTCCTTTTCCTCCTCAATCTCCTCTCTCTGTCTTTTTTTAGCTTGTTCCTTCCATTTATTATTATGCTTTCGAAGCAACTTATGATACTTCCATTTTGGCATACTTTAATTTGTTCTTGACAGACTGTGTTTGTCTTTGATCTTTAAAAAAAAATTCCAAGCATGCTTTTTTTTTAAAAAAAAAAAAAAGATTTTTTTTTTTTATGAAATGCTCTTGAAGCCCCTTAACTCACTAAATGCTCACATCTCAAATTTATAAAATCATGTGCCATACACCAATTCTTTTTTCAAATATAAAAATGAAAGATGCGAGGCATGAGAAAATTTTCTTATACATACTTATTTGTGCACCTTCTTCCTTATAAGGAATTCAACCTCTGCTTAAACATATGATAATTCAGATCTAGTCCTTAATCACATGACTTTTACCACCAATCAAATTTTGAATCTGCTTAAAGTTAAAATTGATTGGTTGATCAAAATCATATTTTTTGTCCCATTTATCTTAAAACATATATAAATCAGATATTTTTAAACCAGTAATGTCAAATAAATAAATTTTTTTTTAAAAAAAGAGGCCACTAAGTTGTAATAAATTGATTTAGCTACAATTTGGTGGCCTTTTTTTTTTTGTTATATAATTTAATATCTTGAGCTATTAATATTTAAAAATTAGTAAATTTATTTTAGTCTTTAGGTGGCATGCACTGTATTAAACCAAATACTCAGACTGCTTTTTTTAATATCATTACTTTACAAACCCAAATCAAAAATAAATTTCAACTTATCAAAATAGTACTTAATCAATTAATATATGATAAAATTAGAAAAAAAAATAGAAGAATAAAACAAATCATTTAAAGAAATATTTAAACTCTTCTAAGAATATAAATAGCTTAAATTTAAGTTAGCTTAAGCTGGCTTTTAAGCCAAGTTATTTAAGCCAACTTGAGCCAACTTGAATTAGTTTAAAACTAAATTAAATTATTTAAAATTTACTTATAATTATATTTTGAATTAATTTAAAAAAATATATATTTTTTAATTAATTTAATTAATTTATTAATTGTTATATTAAATTTATTCATAATAGTATATTAATAAATAAATTAAATTTATAAATTACTCAAATAATAAAACTCTTTCTATAAATCCTTTGTACACAAAAATAACTAAAAATTTGTTAATAATAAAATCGCTAATACCTGGTTATTTTACTAAAATAACCAATTTTGATGTCTTAAATAAACTTGTTTAGCTCTTAATTTTATATATATTTTGAAAGTTTCAAGTTTATAACTTTTGAACTTGCAGTTAATACTGCCAAAACAGCCTTTGGTCTTTATTATTAAACTATTATTTATTTCTTATAAAGTATCTTATTAAGCTACTTTACAGTTATATGAAAAATTATAAAGCACTGTTTTCTGATCAAAATAAGCCTAAGAAGAAGCTTGTAGACCTAAAATTGACAGAATTATAATAGAAACCAACTTTTATTACTCTGTAGTTTTTTTTTTCTTTTTTCTTATTCCTTTGTTCTTACTTTTAAATTTTTTTCTAGAATGTTTTTGTATAATCTCAAATTATTTTTAAAATTGGTTTCATTTAATTTCACATTGTGTAAATTAAATTTATCTAAAAAAGAAACTTATTTGTTACAAATTATCTTGTACTAATTTGCTAAAAATAAATCTTGTACTAAATTATACAATAGCTACTATAATACTCAACTATTTATAAATTTGTACTACATTAGCCACACTAGTCACATCAGCTACAAACTTGTGTTACCTAGGTTACACAAGCTAATGCAGCCACATTAGCCACAGTCAAATCTTTGCAAATACAAATTATACTCTACAATTAATTTTATATTATAATTAAATCTTTAAAAACCTTTATCAAAAATTACAAAAAATTTTACTAAATAATCTAAATTCTAACTTCTAAGTAAACTCATAGCATTATGCCTACTTTTAGCACAAAATTACCAGATACCTTAGACCTTGATTATTTCTTTAAGAATCATGCAAATTCCTATAATATTGCTATTTATGAAAAAGAATCTAGACAAGTATGAGCTATTTCAGACAAATACAAGCCTACCAAATATATTACTATAGAACTTAGAACTCATCCAGCAACTCATATCTTTTTGCTCCTGCAACAACTGCAACAGTCAAATGTATGTGTGAATTATTTCATACTCAATTTATTGCAGAAAACAATAAAATATATAAACTTAATACTTAAATTAATAAAACAACAACTAACAAATAAGCTAAAAAACTTCAACAAATACTTAAGAAATTAGCATCAAATGTTCTACCATTTTTCATAGCCACTATTCACATATACATTTGTCCTAAATGTCAAATCCCAATTAACTGCAAAGTAACTAACAATAATTATGCATTACAAAATAAATCTACTTTCTATCAAAATACAGCATATCATAATAATTGCTTAGCTAAAATCTATAAAGAAATTAGCTTAGCTAATCAACCCAAACCCCAATCTACTGAAAACCCAGAATAAGGTTCATCTTCATATAATAAGTCTCCAACTCAACAGCTTGCTACTTTTCCACCTAATTAACAACAAAACAATCCTTTTATTTTAGAACTAATATTCACTCCATCCAACTTTGAAGAAACAACTACTATTAACAATAATATAAATATTGATGGCTCTACTATACTACCAAATTTATAATAATAACAATTACAAACTAAACAAATACAACAACAACAACAACAACAAACTTTACACTAAGCTCTACTACTACTAAACAAACAACAACTTCACAAAAAACTAAATCAACAATCTTAACTGGCTCAGTCCTATAGCTAAGCAACAAGATCCAAACTTAACCTATTATATGACTTTTTAGCAAACTTTCTAGTCACTAAGAAAATGCAAAATCATATAAAACTACAAACAGAAATATTATGAAAACTCTTTAATTTTCTTAAAGAACATCTTTACAACTTCTACTCTGATAAAATTATTAAAAAAGCAGTCAGAAATTGAATTGCACTTAAAGCAAGCTTTTACCTACTAATTAGATAAATGGCTAGTACTAGATTCCAATTTCTTACTAACTTAATTTAACAACATAATTCTGATAATGACAAATTAGCTACAATACTATTTAGTATTTTTGAAAAAACATTCAAAAAACTTATTCTTACTTTTATAACAGTCTTTTTTACTAAACTTAATTATCCTAAAATATTTGCATCACCTGCTACTATTCCACCTATTCAAACCCATAATTGTTTACAATTTTGCATTAATCTTGCCCAACTTCATCTATATCTCTCTAACAATTATCAAGTGATTAACCATACCAAATTCACAGAAGATATTAAACTTAGACCCAAAAGATTTAATATTACATCTGAGGTTACTGAAGTTGATAAACAACATCAATTTCTCTTTATTAAAATAGACAATCAATTTAATATTAAACTTAACTTTAACCTTTCTAAAACTCTATTTTTTCAAAAATACAATATATTATCTTTAAAAATTCACTTAACCACTTCAATAAATGATTAGAAAAAATCTTTACTATATATAGTTGCCAATTCTTTAATACTATTAACAAAACCAAAGTTCAAAACTATCTTAAGTATGAATTTAGACAACATTTTATTACCTATCTTAAAAAACTTTTACCAACTACAATAGAGTTTAAAAAACCAACTAGTCTTTATAAAAGATATAATGAAATCTTTAGACATGCCAATCATCACATACTTATCTGCACAAATCCTAAATATTCTTATCTTGAGTCAGTTATGACTAAAGACAAAGAAAAAGAAAAGGAATCTGATAAAGAAAAAGAACCTAAAACTGAAAAGAAATCCAAAAATACTCAAAAAACAAATCTTAAGCCACAATTTATACATAACTTAACCAAACTCATTAAAAATATATTCGACACATCATATAACACCTGCTTAAAAGAAATTAAAGCTTAGAATAAACTTTTTCTTAATACTTTAATATTCAATATTAAAGGAAAATATAAAGCTACATTTATTAAACAAATTCCTACTAATGTTTTAGATAAACTGGCAGCAAAGGCTAAAGAATATACCTGTTTTGCTAACTCTGTTAAAACTAATCCAAAATGACAAGTCTTCTATTTTTATCAATACCTAACTATTTACCAAAACACTGCTGCAGAAAACCATAATATTGACAAAATAGACAAACAACAGGCTATCAACTTTCTCATATCTAAACTTATTGATACTGACTTTCTTGCATATATCATTACATATTTCGACTGTACTTATAATGAATCTCCTAACTATTCTGCAATAACCAAATTCTATAAAGAAAAAGCATTATCAGAAGTTAAAGCTATCCTACATGAAAAATTTAATATTAAATTCAAAATACCTACATCTATTGCAGAGTCACTCTTCTTAGAACAAGAAGAACAGACACCTTTTTAATAAAGTTGTCTTCTACAAAACTCATAAATGCAGCCGCCATCCTATTAAATAATACATATTTAGTAGTTAATAAGAAAAATAATATAAATAGGCAGATGGTAAAGCCTATTTATGTGAAAGGCCAAAATAATGATAGTTAAATCCAACACATAGGACAGACTTTGGTACTCTGCATAGCAGTAAGAGCTGAGCATATAGTGATCAATCTTGTAGAAGACAATCTTAGAAGATCATTCTTAATATCTTTAAGCCTCTATAATTTTTATACATGTTTTACCAAATTTCTTCTTTATTACAACTTACTACTTCTTTCTCATGATCAAACCATTCAATCTTTTTTACAACATATTGACAAACATAACCATAATAACACTGTTTCTAGTATTACTTTCTCTGTTAGCAATACATATGATGAAACTCATATATATCTCCCAAATGATTCTCTCTTACCTAATCATACTGTTATCCATTCTTAGCTTCTTCTTATTTTTTACAACCTTCTTCTCAAATCAAATTCTTCTAATTCTACTTTTATTCCACCTGATTTATTTTTTAATAGTCATATTACATTACAAGTATCTACATCTATACAAACTTTACATAACCTTCATTTAAATATTTGTATAC